TTGTGAACTATTACTAATTTGCTTTTGCATGTTCTGAGTTTTCAGATGGCTTAACGAACTCTTTTGCTCTAAGATGCCATTCAAATAACTTGCACAAATACAAATATGCTTATGCTACCAAATCCACGTAATTCCAGACTGCAAACCATCAGCGCCATCTCTTTCGTTGACGAATCCACTGGATTCGCTATTACCGCCATCAGTAGTTTACTGTTAATCATATGTGGCGATTGTAGCCTTCTGTGACCATTAGGTCATCAAAATATAGTTGATCTTTACACTCGTTCGGATATGCATTTGAACCCTTTATCACTAATGATGTGGGAATATACGTAAACGTGCTCCATTGTCTATTTCTTGCCGTTGTAATATTCGTGTTCTACGTAAAGTATATGGCAATCTTGAAGAGAGTACGCTTTAACGTCAAACGAAGAAAGTTAAATACAGGAATATCGAAAATTTGAAAAACATGTTTCGTAGGACAAACCGGGAATTATTTACAGAATACTCATTGAATAAAACTATAGATTTCGTCACTTGTTATCTTTAATTCTGTTTTGATATTTGTTATCCCACTAGTGAAATCGTTAATCCAATTCTTGTATGATATAATGATATTCGTTCGTGTTCACAAAAAGTCCACAAACTAGAAAAAACAGATAAATATATCACTGATGAATATGATGATCGCATTCTGAATGATTTTCGAGGTCTTGTTCCGGATTTACCAAGCAGTATTAGCAGTGTCCTACGAACGTGCACAAGTGTTCCAACTAAGTATATCAGCAGTAGTGTTTACTACGATTTCGGATTGGAAATAAATCTGCAAAGATTAGTTGAACTCCCGTTGAGTACTTGTCATTTTGGTTCATTGAATTTGCATAATGTGGACGGACCTTCGATTTAAAAGAACTCTATTCTACAACTCTGGCCTATGACGCATCTTTACCCCTGAATTTAGTGACGTGTTCATGGTAGGTATCTACGGAGGGAATACTAGGCCAGCAGAATTCAACGAAATGACTGACGTGCGGCTGCACAGTGTTAAGTTCAACAGACACATAGTTATTAAACTGGTTGCTGTAATCTGTGACCCACCTGCTTGTTAGGATGTTAAATCCACAGTTAATTCAATTGAAAAGTAGGGTGAGTTAGCTGTGTTGTAGTGGGTCGACGATTTGATGGAAGAATGACACTCCAAACGGTGGATATACGTTGCTAACGGATGGTCCAATTAACATGGTGTAATTAGGTGCGACAAAGAAACTAACCAATCTATGGGTAGATTTTTCTCTTAAAATATTTAGAAACATGAACAAATTTGTGACTATGGATATAAATAAGAAAACGTCAAGTTGTGTCGCAATTACTCCTTCAGACTTTAAGTGTAAATGTCGGACATTAGACTTCGTCTCAGTATGGAAAAGGACAGACTGTCGATTGTCCCTTCTGTATTTAGACCCCGTAATTATTAAAAATTGTTTACTTCAACCGCCGTGCTCAAATTTCAAGAGTTTAGCATTAGCGACGTGCTTTTCGGCACATTCCAGACCATAAAGCGGAGCAACAGATTCGGTCAAAAAGGATTTGCCCAATTTTACTAAGGAATATGAACGATGCTATGGACTCTTCGCTGAACTAACCTTTCTTAATTAAAATGATTTGGCGGTTTCGTTCAACAACTTGGCTGCTTAGCGTGCCAGCAGCTTTACGGACGAAAACACTTTGTCAGTAAACGAAGGGGGACCGAAGAGGTTAGTACAGTAATCTTAATAATATTTCGTAGAGATGCAAAAAAGAAGGGTCTCTGTACAATTTCGTTGACGTAGGCTGAAACTAGCCACGTTCCATACCCTAAATTCCGGTTTTTGATCACTTTTGTCCCACCACTTGTTAAGTAGGTGTGTTTTCTCCAAAAATGTTAATAGAATACTTCGACACACAGTTGGATGCGTCTGCCTCAATTTCCGAGTCTGGGCGTGTGGGCAGTGCGTAGGCGACCGAGTAAGTGACATATCCCAGGTTATGTGTTATTAATTAGGCATGAGTACTTAATTACAAGTGCATTTAAAATCAAACAGGCTTTCTCAACACTCACTAGTGAATGTTCAGCTCAAAGGGTTTCGCATGTGCATGTTTAAAAAACGTTTATTGATAACGAAGTTGAACATTAAAAATATCCAACTAGTAATGCCTTTTTGTAACGCCTGTTGGTCTATTGAGAAGCAGAGTAATTTTCTTGTGAATTTTCAAATTTAATGAACACCAAAATTAAAACGATATCTAACAGCTATTGCTATTTTAATCAACTATCTAAGTGAAGTTTTACTTACGGTCATCTTTGTTAACACTGAACATTGTACCTATAGAACGGTAGAGAATAATTGTCACTTCAAATTAATACACACATGCTCTTGTTTTATTCGATAACACTTTTGTATTTTGTCTCTCATGTTGTGAAAGTACATTTGCGACGCGGTCACACAGTTTCCCAAGGTCTTTTTCGTTGACGGATGAGGACGGGAACCGAATAGTTAATGCGCCGTATAATCTGCACTTTTCGACGAAGTGCCAAGTAATATTAAATGGCTGGCAACTTTAGGTGTCATGACGTATGACAAAATACAACGCATAGATGTTTTATGGTTATCATCCATTAACCGCGTCAACATGGCCATCTGAAATACGAACAAATCATCCCATTATTTTGTTGACTTACGAATTTGTTTCTTATCTTCTGTCTGAAACAAGCGTCTAACGTTCCCATTACCTCTCCAGATGACAAAAAAAGTGCTGACTTGATAGTCCACAATCGAATCGCTACAGATGTTTACGCCCATTAGACTTCGGTAGTAGCTGCCTCGTGTTGGCACTCAAATCTGCAACAGCCGACGATGTTATGCGGTACAATATACAGTCTATCAAACCTTAAAAACTTAACACAATCGACACATGACTTACTCGGCCGCTAACACACTTCCTACACTAGATTCGGACGTTGGGGGCAACGTATCCAACTGCGTCGATTTAGCTAGTTAACATCTCCAAAGTAAACCCGCCAACTTGGCAATGGTGTCAAACAACTGAAATTTAGGATATTGGATCAAGTAGGGTGCATCTGGTTTTTATTTCCCGCGTACTAGTTGGTGGCACTTGCAGAAGGTACTGTCGAGGCGCAGGTGAACAATGTTAGTGTTCTGTATCATAATAGTGTTCAACTTGGAAAAGGGTATGTTCGATGCGCATTTCTAGACTATATGTCTGCCTTGGACTCCCTTACAACACAACAATTTACAGGTTTATCAGCGTCGACACCGACAGTTGGATAACCAACTAGCTGTTCCAACTTCTTTGGGAAAAAATAGTAGCGTTTAGAGGGAAGTGTTCAATGTCTCTACTGACTCATGCTGTGCCATAAGGAGCTGTTCTTTCCTCTTTATTTTCGCCATGATCTACCATCTTCCTTAAAAAACACTTTTTCTAAATATGCAGTCGATATCAAAGTATGTATGTATCATCTTGAAATGAATGAGATATTGTCTGTTAGTGAACGATGGTCTGTTCTTAATGGTTTCACACTTAATCTTTCTAAAGTGTTAACTTTATCTTGAGTCATGAACAGCATTCAAACACCCTGTTAGAATCCCACAAAACTCGTACAACTGGAGATCTTTTAATAATTTCAAAGGTAATTTATTCTAGTTTAAGCTTTCCCTCTGATCTTTCTTGGTGTTCCCATGTTTTCGTATCGAAGAAAGTTTCCTGTCCGACTTATTACACATAAAAGTTACATGCTATTGGCTTTATTCAGCACTTACTTTCGCGACTTGTTAATTCTTTATTGTTATCCATTATTTTCCCCGAGCTTATAAGAAGACATTGCTGTATTGTGTAGAGTGCTGAAGGCATTTAGCAGGGTGTGGTGGACCTTCTCAGGTCATTAATAATATGGTTGCGGATAGACAACTAAAATCTTGCAAACTCCTGGCAGGTGTTATCTTACCAGATACTAACCATCCATATCTTTCTCATTGTATACTGGTACAACATGATGTCAATACATTATAATCCATGCACGAAAGCAAATATATAAAGGCTCTACACTACCTTATCTAGCAAATATACCCCGAACCAAGGTTTAATGCTATTTGGTACCCATCAGCAAGATGTACCTGTAATTTTGAGGGAACTGATGCTCCCTGTCGGATTCGATCTCATATAACCCAGAGTCCATCTAACGTTGAAACATAAAACAGAACGGCTTTGTCAGTCGCAACATGACACTAAAACAACTTAAATATAAAGGTATACAGCCCCGAGAAGTTGGAGAAATAGCCAACAGTTATTTTGTGCTTTTTAGCAGTTGTCACCGGATATCCAACTATCCAATACGATTACAAATAAAAGTGAATACAAACAAAATTGATTAATTGCATATTAAATTTGACTAATTTACTTGTATTTAAATACAGAATGCATGTAACCAAATGGAAGACAGTAAATAAAATATAGGAAGATGTTAAGCAACGACAATCGTATCATTCGAAATTTCAACTCACGACACAAACACATTAGAAGCAAAATCAAATGGAAGTGTAACTCTTGACTACCTTGAAATGGCTATTTTTCGATTATGAATATGCAGGAAACAATTATAAGAACTGAGATGATTTTTATTATTTTGGACTCATAATGTGGTGATGTGTTCATCATGAGTATATATTAGTAACGATGACCAAACAAAGCCAGATATACATGTTGAAATTATGTTAACAGATACATTACAACAGTGAAATCGACTAACATAAACAGACCAAACTGAAAACAATAACAGGATATACATAAATAAATGTGCACATGTAAACCAACTTAATAATACTAGGCTAATTCTGTAGCTTACAGAAGCAAAATAGATGGGAAAAATAAGTAGGTAAATTAAAGGCAAATTAAAGTGAAAATCAGTACAATGTTCAAACGTACTTACATATTCACGTAAAAATTTAATTTTTATTACGCCGTAGTTGCCGAGAAACACGATCTAAATTAAATTTGACATGCTCCCTGGTACGTACACGTGCATCACTAGTCTCTAAATCTAAGCCCAGACGAACTAAACGTGGATTGGCTAGTATTAATTCGGTCAAATTTTGTTCAATTTTTACACCGAGCACAGATTGACGTTGATTAGCTAAATGCAAATCGGTTATTCCACTTTTTTCATGGCTAATTGACTCCAATAAACGAACGAGGATAACACCTGAAATATAAAAAAGCATGATAGATAAGTAGTTTGGTGAATTAAAAGTAAAACAGTAGTTGTTTTTAAAAGGAAACTACGTAAGTACATTATCATCGTTCGTTTTGTTCACTGACTACATTTCATTCATATTGAACTACCCACTGACCCTATGTGAACATTAGGTAATCTATAGCCAAACAAATTCCTCGAGTCCAGTTCATTCTACCTTGGTCGCGGGAATATGTCGGATAAAATAAACTTGAATACGCATATATACTATCTGCTCTTGCTTTTGTCATCAGTAAAACGCACCACACAAAAGATATGACAACAATGAGCGAAAAGTCACCTTACTGAGAAACATGTTGTTGATTGGCTTAAGACAACCAGATTGTTAGGACATTTTTGTTGGGGTTAGGCATAGGATTCTAGGTGAAGATGACAAATTGGTTGATAAAATTGTGAATCTTCATGGAATGAGGTGGTTAGGACATATGTCAAATATGTCCAACCACCACCTATCTTCACGACATGTTCTCACTGGTATAGATACAAGTCTGGTCAGATAAAAAAAAGTAGCACCAGTGCATCACATCATCAACTGTAGGACTTCGCTACGTTAGTAGGTGCGGACTAACTGCTTGGGTTCCGCACAACTGCGATCAGGGTTTGGAGACATGGCTTATGATGGTTTACAATGGCGCACATGCATCACAGACGAGCACAAACTTTTCCTGCTTCGGTTTGGGCACCCAGGCAGTATCCCAACCCTCACACAAACCGAATGATTTATGTGGTGCATATCTGTTTGGTACCTCCTTTTACCAATATTTATGTGTTTAAATAAATAAATAAACATGCATTCACTCTTTATCTTACTCTAGATCGTAAGTTAAGGAACTCTACTACATATACTTTATTATTCTGCGTTTTCAAACCATATTCTCAACATCCAGTCTTTCGCATTGTGGCACGGTAATTAGAGTCAATGCACATTAGTGGCAGGATATACATTATGACACTGAAAACACTCGTAAATCGAGTGAAGTTTGAAAAGAACAAACCAATTCTGGATAGTTGAGCCATAAAACTAATTGGTTTATGTTCACTAATAACTGTATTTTGAAGTCTAGAATCCTGTCCTAACGGAAGCAACATTTGTGACACCAAACGTAAACCTGTGGCCGAGAGGAAACTATCACTCAGAGAAAAACAATAAGAAAAAGCTTATCGTTCCTAATAGGATACTGTACAATATACGCATAAACACATCTGGAATCAAAAATCTAGTGGAAGTTACACATTTTTGATATCGATTGACACTTGCATAAACAAGAACTGTATGATAAGACAACAAGCATGTGCTTGTATGTGTACGTTTATATGTATTACATAGGTATATGTAAAGGGAAGTCACATGTAAATGTTTACAAATATATAAGAAAGTAGACTTTATAGAATCAAAATAAGGTTCAATTAAAGTTGACATAATACCTCAGTCAGCTGCAACGTAGGACGAGGCACATAAATACATATATGCATAATACCTCACTTTTACGGAAAAAATTTTTTTAATAACACACTGTAAAAAGTAACGAATGGATATATATAACCTCGAAAAATCCTTATCATTATTCCAGTAACACGGAACAGAGTAATGACTCACTCAGACCTAGGAAAAGCTGGATCGTTAAACGATGAATAGCACAACACCAACGGAAGCTTCGTAACTGAACTATTCAGCTCATAGAACACAATACAAAAATATGTATGTATACCAACCTCATCGAATGTAAGATGCTTCGAATCTGCTATTTCATTGCGGTATTTTAGCACATATTACACTCCTATAGTTCTTGATACGTTATGGCAATATGTTTACGTCTACTAATGACTGAATTTATTCTTATGAATTGAGGCATGTCAAATTCCGCTTGTAATTTTAATATTTGTTCACAGTAAATAATGTTTCCGACTAACCAGTCAAAAAGTTCGACTCCAAATTTAATACTTTTAATACAGTATTTTTTTGCAACATATCAAAGAACGGTTCAACCATTGCGTTTGTTAAACGTGTTGCTGCCATATGCAGTTCAGTTAACTGGTTATTCTTTGTAAGAGCGGCACATAAGCGCTGTACTGCTTCAGCACTTATTGTTTTGATATTGTTTAAATTTAATTTAGTTAGTTCTTCGCTGTTATTTTCCAATTTCTTTATACTATCCTGAAACGTATAAAAGATAGAAAGAAAAATACAAGCAGTTTAAAGTGAGCAAGTAATAAATGATGAATCCAAGTATGAAGACATGTGAAATTTTGGAGGAATAAAGCAGTCTTTTTGAAATAATAGTTTATTTTTAGGTGAGATTAAAATTGAACCATAGAATAGAAATAAACAATTATACACCGTAGGTTACAAGATCGGACCTATTTGATTGAAAAACACCATAGAAAATGTTTTGGTATCTACTAGTTTAAATTCTAAAGTATTGAAAATGTAATTACACGAGCAAGTTATAAAAGTAAATGAAGTCCTGGTTACTGGCCACTAAATAGAGGGTCTAATGTCGACTAATCATTATCTTTTTGAGACAGCAGTGTTAGCTATAAGTAGCATAGAACCTCTCACACGTGAAGCGCCTTCAGTCGCCGCACTAATTGATGATAACATTACCAAGATGGATAGCAAAGTAGTAGTAACAGCAATGACAGCATGGAGAACATGATTTTGATATGCTCGGTCAGCTAGACAGGTCTATAGTTAAACCAACTCTACTAGCCAACATTTTGCTTAATTTCTTAAGGAAGAAGGCATACGCTATTGGCTGAGAATGTGGCTTTATTTTCTAAGCGAGGAAAATGCATATTTATGAGTGTGTGCATATATTTTAGACTCAGTTTTAGTTAAGAAGGCTTCTTTCTCACTCAAATAGCTGGTTTGGGCTCGCTTATGGGAAGCTTTTATGCCGGTAACAGGATCGAAGGATCGAAAAACATAACAGATATGAGGAGAAAAAACGAAGTCGCTGAATAAGTACAAAACGATTTTAAAATTCAGGATCCGGGAGTACACAAAGAATGACTATCTGGGCCATATGGATAGATTCTAAGCTATTAATCAACGTCCCTAACCACTGATCATGGTGATCGTGCGAACCCGAAGCACCCAGTCTGGACCTACCAATAGGGCTTGGTTCAACAGTCGACGGCTTTATGGCGACAATATAGTATCCTTTGTTGAATACATTTATTTAATTAGTATGGATACTGTGCATAATACCGGAATTGAAATGGCAGTGTCAGACAGTTTTTAAAGGCCAGTCGGTTAGGTAATAAATCAAAAAATTGAGTTGAACTGAAAAACGGTCTATTCACTTCCCTTGTTAATCAACAAATTTATTGTAAAAAAAAAGGCTTGGATGTGTAACTCGACACTAACCCACCGCCTTTGATATTACTAGACATCCTGAGCATACACTTATAAGTAGCAACCTGAAGGTAGAAAATGTCAATCATTTGTGACTGAACCAACATCATACAAAACTGAAGGGTTCACTAGGAAAGGCTAAATTACAAAACGTGGTCAGAACAGAGAACGATGGTAGGTAGTCTTTAATGAAGGAAAAAGTGTTTAGTGTCCCTCAATTTTCAAATGATGTTAAGCTACAAAGAAAAAGGATTAACCAAGTAGAGGAAAAAACGAGACAAACCTCTACATCTGTCATATTAGGTGGCTCATCTGGCACGACTTTAGGACGTTCAGCTTTAGCCACACCAGAGAATCCACCCATTTCCAATTTACGTCCTTCTAAACTAGCGTGGAACTGTACTTGATTCAACATCCCAGTAAAACCCAGGACAGCAGCCAAATCAACAAGTTCATCTTCAGTAGCATTTTCAAGAGCCTTAACAAAAATATATATAAATTCACAAAGGTTATGTTACATGACACAATACGGCTAAAATTTTCTTTATCAATACAATAAAAAATGGTGGTAAAAATAAGTGGTCGTCAGAGGAAACTGTACAAACCCCATCGGTTATTCTTTTTTTAATTTTATGTAGACAAGAAAGGAATTATGATCAACAGTTGCAGAGTGAATGGTGTGTAGATAAAAATAAAGCTTATAAATATGAAAAGTGGTTATTCACCAGATAATTTAAAATATTGTTAGCTAAAAGTTACCGATCGTAAAAGTCTAAATTAACTGTTGGATAACTTTTGTTTCCTGCCAGAAAACTAGCTTCTTAAAAGGCAAACAAACCTCTGAAATTTGAACGGAGTACGAGGAATGACTCCGTGTTTACGAAACACAATGTTAGATTTTGTAGGGTGGTCAGCAGAACTTGTCAACCGGTACTCATCACAGATAATATATAACCGTAATCTAATATGAAAGTTTTACCCGAAAAAGTGCTAATACTTTGAGCATGTAAAATTATCAGCTCAAGAAATCATCACAGTTTTCCATCTTAATTTCTGAGCAAATATAATTCCAAAAATTACAAAATAACGTCTCACAAAAAACAAACCGGACACAGAACGACAGAATTGACAGGATTACCTACTTACCAATACTATAGACATTACTATTGAGTTTTAGTGTAGGTTTTCGCAACACAACAGACAAAAACGGATATACATAATTTTGTACGTCAAACCAACAGAAATAGATGTGGAAAACCTAACACCACTTCTGAAATGGAGATCCGCTGCGTTGCACTAATGCTTCACACAACCCTGAATGTGTTACATGAAATTATATGCCTATGTTACCAGCAGGAAAGCATTGTGATGCGGACACGGGTATTATCAGTCAGTTATTTAGAGAAATACTGAGTTATAAACAAATCCGCTTAAGCGGTAGCCAATCCCACTCAAGTTTAATACCTCCCCAATCGACTGAACAAACCTTGAGCACTTAATATTTTTTACTAAAAAAGTATGTGAGGTTTATTTATTGAATGTCTATTTTACTGAAATTATTACTGTAAATAGTGTTTTAAATTAAAAACACGAAGTAACCAGCGTACATACCTTATTTACATCATCATCAAACTCTACATCGAAACCCATTTCAATTAATTCGTTTTGCGTGCTCGGTGAAATAGTTTGTTTTGGTGTATAGGCTTTTCCCCTTTTCTTTTTTTCAAAAGGCACAGCTTCTTCCCAATCTCTTTCGGCTTTGGCTTTTTCAATGAGATATCTATGTTCCGAAAAATAGTAAAATATTTTGGAAACTGTCAAAATTTTAGAAAACAACACTTATGCTTATATAGAACGAAAAGTCTGATCATATCTACTGTAGGGAGCAATTTCCTACAGGTTTAATTCTGAGCTATTCTCTAGACCGTCGAATACAGAGTCTTGGTTTGGCTAAAGTCAGAACAAGCAAGCTATTTGGCTAGATAAACTTTATCTGTTTCTAAAACACAAATTAACATCGTTAGTGTACAAACAAACTGTACGGTCTATTAATACAGGGAAAAAACAGACAAATAACATACCGAACAGTAGCCAGAGAATAGGAAAAATGAGTCAACAAGCAAATATTGTTTTGCAATGAACATCAAACTGTGATTGGTTAATAAAGAGATACAGTAGTACAAGGTCAAAGGGAGTTAATGTGATGGTGGGCGTTTCTCTTTATTATTGGTGAGTTCGTCTATCGATCACATTTTACATCTACTGTATTGGGTTTTTGACATGAATATGGATGACCTTGAAAATAGGTCGCGAAGTGTAACTCCCATAGCTCATCCTATCTTAAAAGACATTCAAATGCGGGGAAACATTGTACTCGCTTTATTTCTCTATTACTTTACACATGTTTGGAATGGGAACGCAAAATCGAAACCACTAAATTGTTAATTCAATGACAATACTTGAAATAAGTAACATTTAAAGGATTGAACAATTAATCCAGCACTATAGGCAAAGATGGATAGTGATAAGCAATATAATCCAAGATTTCCGCGTTTCGTCCTCTTTGAGACTCTTCAGCTGGATGTCCACTCCGAGACTTGAACCCAGTACCGTCCGCTTCAAACGCCATCGCGTTATCTACTTAGCTACTGGGTTCAGATAGCCACTGGCTTGTGCAATGGGGTGAAGTTCAATCCCTTTTTGTGTCGGCTGTTTGAATCTTCCAATTGACTTTTAGGGCTGCGGTTGATTAGCCCTTTATCGGCATATGTACTGGATTAAAGTCCCGGAGTCAAAATAAACTGAGATTCAGGTACATCTAAACGACGGGTCTCAAATAGGACGAAGCGCGTGTCCTGGATTTCACTGCTAGCCACTATCCAACCAAACAGCTGTGACCTTATTCTTCTTCAGTAGAGAGAGAAATACAAAATAAATGAGAATTGAAAACAAAATTACTAGTAAAATCTATACATCGTGTGGTCTGTCGACACTAAACGACATCCATTTTATTTATTTGAACACATAAACATTAGTACAAGGAGGCATTTAATACATATTCACCACACAAAAAGAATGAGGCCAGTAGTAATTATTGATTTGTATGAGGGTTGTGATACCTCCCAGGTGCCCAGACCGAAGCAGGTGGTTCTCTTAGGGGGTCACACCCCAAGCCTTTGACCTAAAGGTCTAATCCACAACGCAATGGAGCAGCTTCAGAAGATGCAGTCACACTGAAGCTAGTGACCAACAATAGGTTCATACACCATCTGTCCCGTCAGGATCCTTGAGCCCATGTGTATCATTGGTTTGGAGTTTAGATTTTCCAACTCTCCTAGGTGGTCACCATATCCACCAACCCGGTTAAAGCGCCGGACATTCCCTCTTCGTCCTCTCGAGTTTGTAAACAACAACGTTGCTGAGAGAAGGCAGTGGACGAGTGTGTGGCCAAATAAGAGCATGTCGAGAGGGAGAGCGGACTCCCCACCCTCGGCCGTACCAGGGCATCTGGGGGCTAAAAACGATATCTAAGAACTAATGCTTCCCCAACAAATTCGGGACTGTAAACACCGGCTCGGGTCGGTAATCACTATCAGATAAATGTCGATTTTGGAATTTAGTTCCTGACTAGATTTTTACTAAAGCTGAAACGCTATCCAGCAGCGCTCAAACGAACTTAGAAGAAACCTCGTGTAAAATAAACATTTGAGTCCGAAAAACAAGTGCATGTTTATTAGCATGAAAGCCTATACTTTAGCTGGGATCAACCATTATTTTAAAAAAAACATGAACAATAATTACCTTAGTAATTTTTCACGATCATAAGGTCCAGTTGGGGTTTTGGTAGTTTGGTCACGACACCTCTGTGAAGGAGGAAGCAGTGAATTGTCGGGATCAAAGTCATCATTAAGCTGCTCCAGCTCCTCTGGTGTTAGCTTAGACAACAATTCATCAATATCTTCATCGTCGTATGAGGTAAGAGCTTTACCAAATAATAACTTATTCGACATCGTCTAGATAGAGAACAGAAATAAACTGCACTTGAAGAATGTATAAAAAACCAGTGTACTCGGATACCGAACCGAGAAGCATTGCTCATATGAACCTCATCAAAATGCGCTTTATGCTCTGATTTCAATATATAGCTAGTATTTTGATGTCATTGGTGTTTTATTAGAATGTAATATTTGGTTTTAATTTAGTCTGTGTGAAGCGCTTCATGAAACACTGACCCTACTTTGTTTCAGTTATTGAAGTGCGTTGTGATTAATATCAGAACCAGCTTTAGCCTTGAAAAACGAAACAGCCAAGTTTTCCGGTAACAGAAATAAAAGCAAAGCACTCGTGGGTATCACATACGATTCCCCTGAGCAAAAACCACCGGTATATCTACACTAAAGGACATACCAACCACACTAGTGTTATATTTCTTCAAACTTCGTGGTACTATGATTTCCATGCATCATAGTGCTTTCCACTACCCACCGGCTATCGATAACCAATGCGTTAACAAACACCCCTTCCTACAGTGAGCAGTTATCAATCATAGGTTTGTAGATAACTTGGAAAAGACATGCAGATGCAAAAGCTAAAAACTCAAAAAGGTGTGCGGTAAGCAAACAGTAAGTTGTGGACTGTTAATTTAGATAGTAAATATCAACAGACAGAACTGTTGTATTTAATATAAAGTACAGATGCTAACAGCTTTCGGAAAAGCAACACTGGTATCACTTAGACTGAAGTTAATTCAATTGAAATGACAGTAGCCTTGATGAGCAATGAACGATGGAAACTAAAATTTAACTCAACTGCTACCCTTTTAAAAAGCGCGGCTTGTGAACGAACTGAACTCGCTGATTAGCTCGAATTTTGAATGAACAATATATTAGGGTTTTTTGTCGTGTTATGTTTCCTAAACCATTAGCTATAATCTTCTAGTTTTTCCCCGCCACATTTTTTAATCTCACGTATTGTTCCTGATTGCTGTCAACTGTTTTTTCATAAATATATTTGCATTCTTTTTGACTGTTTATTCACAGATCTATGTATCCGTCTTCTTCTGGGATCGCATACCCCATTTGTTTGAAGTGTTTCAGGACCTCAATCTAAATGCAACGTATCTGTGGGCTGTAGCTTCGGAGAAAATGACAAATAAATTCAAATAAAAAGCAAGAAACAACCTAATATCACAAATGCGAATCCGATTTTATTAACCGTTGTTGAAAATTCGTAGTGTGATTATGTTGACACGTCAGTCATCCTTCATAGGGTCTACGGGAGTGAGTGTTCCGAACACAACATACGCTGTTAAAATAACAATCGGTTGATAAGTGGATCACTTGACAAAATAGTGCCTCATGACTTCTCTTGGGCAACCTAGCTGACGATGTACAGACAAGGTAGTTAAACGTGCTTGAAAAAAGTCGAACCGCACCGCAAAAGGTGGTATTTTAATTCCATGATGGGAGGGACTTAACACCACGAAATAGACACAAACTGAAAAGGTCAGGCGTCTTTGTCCAGGAAGATTTGTCTCTCGCTTACTTTATGAAAAGGCGAGATGGTGAAAATGAACTGAAACCATGATTGTCCATCGATCTAAAGAAACTTTGCATCGTCTTTGGAAGATGAGACTTCGAGAGAGGATGATGTTGAAGCCATATGAGCGGTCTCTTGATCTGTCACATATATGACTCGAACTTGTCGAACAAGCGATCGGAGCTAAGTATACAGATGAAATTGACCAAGCCATAACAAACATTTGGCCGACCCATTGTGTAGATAATAGGAAACTTGATTTCTAGAGCCTCAAATAATAAAGGCTGAAAGAATCCAGGACCACGTCCATAGCATATCTTATGGGAGTGTGATGTAAGAAATGGTTATCTGTCGTTAAAATTGTAAGAGAAGGGAGCTATTGATTGGTTTGGTTCACAGTAATCCAAACCGAGGTAAATCAAGTCTCACTAGATGGACTCAACGTCTGATCTTTGAGTAGCCGATGCTTAAGTTTAGATGATTTTGCTAGGACTGCATTAGACTGGGGGAATCTTCGAACTGAGCTAAGAGAAAATTATTTTGAACAAAAACTAGTTGACGTGATGATAACACATGTGCCGTAGGGCTACATATGAAAGCAATAACTAGGTACGGCCCGGACTCCAAATCATTTTTGCTAGGTCTCACATGCATTCATTATGAGTATAACATTACAAACTTCAATTTTATACCAATCCTAGGTAAGACTGATAATAAGGTTTCAATTTTTTATTTTCATATAGCTGTCAATAACGATGTTCCACCTCAAGCTAGTCCAAACCTTTAGGGAAGTAAGCGCACAAAAATCAATACACTCAGCATTCTCAATAGATGGAAAAATAAAATCACATCCTTGTACAAAGACAGTTTAAGAGTTCTTTAAGAGTCTTTACACGATAGCTACGGCACCTCACGTCCCCTTGACTACATCAACGAATCTAATAAACTCCCTACCATGGCTCAGCAAAGATGTTCACACAATTATACTTTTTAAAAATCAATGGGGGTAATTTGGTGCTGAAGAGAAAATTTTGGAAATCTGGAATGTTTATGTCCCAGCTCTAAGCCAGTCTACAAGATCGTACGAAGAAGAATTTGTTAAGGAGTCTTTAAAATATCCAAAATGCATATATCCGCTCACAAATAAAGGAATGAAGAGGAAACTCAGAATTTCATCCAACAAATACAACAAACCTTAGGTACTCTCTGAATACCTTGGCAATATATATGTGGTGGGACATTCTATCTTTATTTTTATATAAATCCCTGAACATTGTGACCATCAAAAGACACGATGTCCTTTGATTGTGAAATATACTTGATTCCGATTAATTCATAGAAATCAACGAAGTCCCTAGTAGGTTACTAATAGAACTGTCAAATTTAGTCGTGAATTTTTTAAAAACCAGTCTTATTCTATGTGTAACCCGAGGTAAATTGCCATAATACCGAGGGAACGCCATAGCAAGACCCTTTTGTAAAACAGGCATGAAATAAGAATTACGGGACTATCATCTAGTAAGCTGAACCCAAGTGGTCACCAAGATTCTAGAACACTGTTCAGAAAGACATTAAAGAGAAAGAATGTATTTGTAAAATCCGAGTGAACGAATTGTTGAAGTAAAACCAACGTCCCTCCTGGCAACCTGGTTCAAGCTTTTTCAAGGAAATATAATCAAACATCGAAATTATCAAGTTATTCGACATAATTATAATTATTGGGTAACTGGGTCATATATATATTTGTATTCGTTTATTCATAAGTTTTCATTTGAATTATTAACCAATTTCATATGATTTGCTGTTCTTAATTTATTCTCAATTTATAAGTTACAGACAGTCAAAGCCACTTTCGGCTTGATCTTATATGATTATTATTTTTCTTCATATGGTGTGATGAAGTTTGATCTGCTTGTATATAAGCCACGTATGTCTGAAACATATTATTCATACAGTAGAGGCTGGTGTTGTCTCCTGGATTCAACGGTCAGGGCTAGGCAAGAAGTTATTATATTGAGGCAAGGTATATGTTGAATATAGTGGTCAGGATGAGTAGATGACTTGTTTTTGTAAACGATATGCACAGACAATGAATTGTACGAAGATAGTGGGCACAGAATAAATTTTCAGGACTTTTTATTTCTGATTGTTTGCTCATAATTAGTAATTGATTATTCCTTACGCTGAATCTTTTTTGGAGTGATACCTGAAATTTATCCATACGTCAATATGAACTTGCGTTCATGTGGCCAGAAGTGTTACGACAGAGTCGTGGAGTATCTTTTTTATCATACGTTAATTAATTAGTTTCACTCTTATCATTCACCTCTCTATGTTTTTACCAGAATCTTGGATAGCTTGAAACATGCCTTTAACTATAAAATAGCCAACTGACCATTCAAAATCATTCAGATTGCTTTTCGTCAGTTTTTGGATTATTTGTTGTGACCGGTCTAAGTGAACGCACTTCGCCCTGTGTATATCACCAAAGTAGGCGGTCTTTATTGACTAGTGTGGTCTACTCCAGTTGGACAGCAACTGTGGTCTCTTATTTTATGTCGAAATCACACACCGCGATCAATACATGATCTACTTTTTCCTGTTGTCGTAAACTTGTCAGTCGAATTCTAAGGCAATTGACTATGCTGTATACTCTAAATAGGAGGCAGCATATATTGGAATGAACAAGTTACAAAAGTGCAAGGGGAAAAACCACTGCCTCATGGTACTGCCTATAGCACGCAAATGATTAATGTTCATTGGTTATACGTAACGTTGAAGAGGACCAGAAAACTGTTTGACTTTCAGTGACCTGCTTAGTAGATGATTTGGCTAGAACATAGTCATGCTTTACTAGTAGTTCCACAGTCTTTTTCATAGCTACATACTGAAACCTACGTCTTTCCATCCTCTTTTACACCTTGTTATATAATCTGATCATTCTTTTAATCCCCACCCTCCTGGATTTCCCTTTTCTTTTAAAGAGTATCAAATCTCTCAACTTTAATAGCTTTTGATTCAGAACTCGAACTGTTAAACAGGGAAAAAGAGGAAAAGAAAGGTAGATTGAAAGACAGATGTTGTAGCTCAGGTGGTTGATTTTGATGGAGTTTTCTTCTCTGTTGGACAACGGTTCTGATGTGACACTGATAAAATCAAACTGTTTGAGGTCTCTCGGGCTGAGCGAAGACGAAGCATCAGTGGTAGTTGAGACTGTGGGCGGTAATAGAACAATGAAGGTCACGAGTGCGCCTTTTGAGGTTTATTCTTTAGATCGATCTGAACATGTTACGATTGAAGTAGCTCTGATTGTGGCAGGTACACCAGGTCATAAGCCAACAAAGTCAGCAATGAACAACCTAGTTAAGTGGCCGCATTTAAGTGATGTGCCAATAGATAGCCTAGATTCTGAAGAAGTTTTACTGTTGATTGGTTGCGACGTACCAGAAGCACATTGGGTGTTAGACCAACG